CAAAATGAAAAACAAGAAGAAATGTAAAAATAAATTTAGTCAGAAGAATCCTGAGGAGGCAGTAAATAAAGCAGAATCTACAGAGGAACACAAACCAAAGGAAGAAGACAGCAACAACAACAACAAAAGTGAAAAAGTCACTCAGACACCAGCCAAGAAAAAGCAAAAGGAATGTAAAGCACAGAAAAGGAAACGAACTGAAGAGCTGGCTGAAATAACTTGTACAACAGAAACACAGACACTCAGAGAAGAAAAGGGCGACAAGGTTGAAAAAGGTGCGACTGAATCAAAACAAAAAGCTGCTGAACCCAAGGTGGAGATCACAGACGAGCCGCAGTCACCCACAAAAAGAGTGAAACCCGAGCTGAGCAGAGAGCAGAGTCTAAGACGAGAGAAGCTTCGGAAAATGCTGAGCAAGGAAGCAGTCCGACAGGAGAGTCCCGCAGAGCAAAAGGACGAGGCAGCCGCACCAGAAACAGATGTCAAACTGGACCGCTCGGCCTCCCTCAGGTCCCGCATGGTCGAGCGTCTGGAGTCGGCTCGCTTCCGCTTCATCAATGAAGTTCTGTACAGCACGACCAGCGGCGAGGCCAGGCGGATGTTCAAACAGGACCCGCAGGCCTTCGGGATCTACCACAGAGGATACACGGCACAGGTTCAGAGGTGGCCCGCCAATCCAGTGGATGCCATCATCGCGTACATTCGTCAAAAGTGAGATACTGTACTTTAAATTTCACATGTTATTATGGCTGTTAGTCAAAAAACATAAAGGTTAACGGTTAACAAACGGCCACTGCTGCAACGTTCCAGTTGGTCCATACAGAGGCAATAAGAAGTTCAATGTCTGGTCATGATCATGCAAACAAACAAACATTTCATGTCATATCTCCTGACCTGATAAAGAACTTGTTCCCCTTCCTGGTGCATCACCTCACAGTGACACACCTGCATACTTTAAATGGTTCCCCTCAGCCTTAGTGCTTGGCACGGTGCCCACTGCCCCCTGCTGCTTACAAAGACAACTAAAAAAACAATGCAAAATTACATTGGAGAAATGGCTCGATACACATGTAATTCAACAGTCTTAATCTATTAATTTAATTTACTGCATCTAGGTTTAGCTAATCTTCACTTTAGCTGAAGCCAGAGTTTCTTCTATTTACAATTATTTTAGTTTATTCTCTGCATACAGTTCCCACAAAGAGAAAATGTATGTTACCCATCCAGGACATTTTGTATAATATCCATCTAAAATCGACCTGATTCCACACATTTGAATAGTGAATGTGAACATGTGTTTTATTCACGGTTTAGAATTCATTTATCAATCCAGTGTTAGAAGAATTGCAAACCCCTGTGAGCTGGACTGACTTGTTTAGGTTCAGCCTCTGTCCACACCAATAACAGAACCTGCTTTAGAGGAAAAAGAATGAAGTCATTTGTCTATAATTGACATATTATTTAGTTTTCCGTCCAAATCTCCCATTATCTCCCCCGTTTATCTGCTGTCTACAGTAAATCCTTTCTATGACCGTGCTCAGGAGCGAGGAGTAATGCAGGAGCTGATGCTCAGTGTGGGGCTTTAATGGATGCTTCATTTAGCTGCTGTTGGAGGGCCGTGTTGTAAACGTCAGCAGTTTGGGAGACGATGAAAAACTCTGGCACACACAGCACTGGCTTGTTTGTCCTATTTTGTGTGGAGTGTAACTAAGATTTCACTTGAAGGTTTTGCTCTTCCCTTCGGGTTTATTGGAGTGTGTCATTTGTTTTCAGGCCTCCCTCCCTGGTGGTCGCTGACTTCGGTTGCGGCGACTGTAAAATCGCACGCAATGTGAAGAACAAAGTGCACAGCTTCGACCTGGCAGCAGCCTGCGAGCTTGTCACAGTGTGTGACATGGCCAACGTGAGTGTGACGGTGTTTCGGTGTGCTTGTTTAGATAAATACTGATGCTGTGATTGCTCCAAAATGAAACCCGTTCTGTGTCTTACAGGTTCCTCTTCCTGACTGCTCGGTGGACATCGCTGTGTTCTGCCTTTCTCTCATGGGAACAAACCTCGCAGATTTTCTAGCAGAGGCCAACCGGGTTTTAAAGATGGGGTAAAAACATGTCGTACTGATTAGTACAGGAAATGCAGTGTTGTGTGTGTACTTACTTTAACAAGTGCATGTTTGTTTTGCACTTTATTTTGTAGGGGCGTCCTACAAATAGCGGAAGTTGCGAGTAGGTTCGAGAATGTTCGAAGCTTCGTAACTGGACTGGCAAACCTGGGATTCAAGATGGTGTCGAAGGTGAGGCCACAAATAAGATTGAACTGGATCTATCTATACGGCTTCCTTATTTATCCACGTTCAACATATTTACTAAGTTTGTCCATAAAATGTCACAGCTGATTTAAAATGTTTTGAACCCTGATGAAGATGAAGCAGAGTTAAGTCTTATGTGTTTTTTTGTTTCCAGCATTACAACCTGAGTTTAACACATTTAAACAGCTTTATTTACTGTTAATGCATGTTTCATCTTTCATTTACCTTTTAAAGAACTCAGTTTGATAGAAGATGGAGACAAGCTTACAACTGCATCACTCTGATAGTGTGTGTGGTGTTGGTAAAGAATATTCTGTTATTTGGCTGATATATATACAGTGACAAAGAGACTTTGTTAAATGAACTTGAGGAGGTTTACAAATATTATTCTAACAGATCAGTAGATATAAAAAGTGTAACCCCATGGTATCTGATAGCTGCTGTTAAAAAAATGACACCTCCTCAGTGACGGACCGTGAGTAAGGAATAATTGTCTTCATGTGGCTTTTTCATCAGGACACAGAGAACACTCACTTCTACACCTTTGAGTTAGTGAAGTCAGGAGGTGCTCCAGAAAATGTGAAGAAGTTTGGACTTGAGCTGAAGCCGTGTGTCTACAAGAAGAGATGAGGTGACATGAGAGTGACCCCCCCCCCCCACCAATAAGTGACATTTTCCTAACTTTGACTTTAGATGTGCAGCTCTGGTTTACTGCTCGCCAAAGCAGAAGTTGTACATTTTTTATAAAAAATGTAAAATGTTCAGTACATGATATGTGCTGTAATAATGTTTCCTTTCATTCTCCCTGGTTAGATATGATCAGTGGAATATTCCTGAAAGGTGTGTTGTTGGAATACATAAATACAATCAGACATTAAATACAGATACTTATTTGGGAGATTTGTGACTGTATTCTTTGGAGCAATTGTGCTAATGCTTGTGTTTATCTGACATAGTCAAAAACAACTTTGTGGCACCATAAAAACATTAATTCAAACCTCTTTCAAAGCTTCACATGCGATACTTTGGTTTTGATTGCCCTGAGTGTCATGACTGAAACGTGCTTCCCTCAGTTGTGTGTGTTGCCACAAGAGGGTGTAACAACTCTGCAACCTAACATGAGTAGAAGATGAATCTTCTTCTGGCTCATAGACTGTGAATGTATCATACGTTTACTCTCATTTTTACAGCAGATGGTAAATCACTGATGCTTTAGATGACAGTGACTGTGAACGTCAGGAGAGCAGATGGTGAGAAGCTGAAGTGTCAGCCGGGTCATCTCTGCTCGATCTGGAAGTCTGTTTGTTGTCATTAGACGGCCAACAATAACACTAAACAGAAATGAAGGAAAACCAACAATCTTGGAACTTTTTATTCACAAATATCAAAAATTAGAGGCTCAGTATATCAACAGAAAGTTCAAGTACGTACATAAAAAGTGTAAAATAATGCATTTAAAATGATTAATGCCAATTCAACTGGACTGTTGACATAAAAACAGATTCCATCACATAAACAAAATCCTTCAACTTTTAATGCCATATTCACATGAAAAGAAAAATATACAGAAATAAAAAAATTGCCGTTGCTACAGTTTGAGTAAGCCCCTCATTTGTTCACTGTGAAAAATGTAAAGATGAATGTGTCATCCAAAAGAACTCTAATCTTCACACGTCACTCTTGACATCGATGACTATGGAGTAGCTGATGAGTTGAGCGTACTCCTTACTGTCCTTCTCTGTCACTGATGGTTTCTTTGCACCAGGAGAGGAAGGCTCCTGCATCAGAGTCGTCAAGGCCGAGAGAGACTCTCGCTTCTGGGTAAGAGAGAGAAAGTGAATGCAGGCGTAGGAGAGAAATAGAAACTGGTTAAGATACTATTGATTTCAGATATACATGACAGTAAGGCCAAAACAACAAGATCAAGGAAGAGTAAAACTTGTGATGCACTGACTTATTCATAAAAATGTATGTTAGCTGTATCTTACCTTATGATTTGGCACGTCATTTGTTTTGCTGGAAAACAAAAAAATATTTCATTAATAATTTAAAAAACTGTTTTTTTTTAAATGCTGAACACCACCACTAGATGGCACTGTGGCCCAATCTGACCTTTAGTAAGCTAGAAGGACAAGTTGGCGGATGTATTGGCATTATTATGGGACAGGAATTTCAATGGACATACTGTATGTAGTGATGACCCGAGTCCTCCTCATTGATCTGTGATGTCAGAATCAGCGGATCACTCTGTACATTTATGACCTCAGTGACATCATCTCATTGAAGACCCGCTGCTGACACCAAGTGTCCCCAGTGCTGCAGGAGGAGGGGGTGTGGAAGAGGGTGACGCCGTCCTAAAATAGCTTTTCTCCTGGGGAGTCATGTTTTCTTGTGTACGCTATGTGATTGACCTTCCCAAATTAGCCTGACAGGACCCTCCCAACAGAGCGAGGGATAACGGGACCGGGGCTCACCCAATGGCACCTTGACCAAATGTTCTGACCACAAAGGAAGAGCTTTTGAAAAAGCTTCTTCAGCAGACTGTGCAGCTTTACTCACACAGAGACCTGATCTGAGACTGACTAACATTCCTGAGAGAAGTTCCATTTGGCACTGAGCGTGGAAATGTGCAGACTTCTGCCGGTAGAAACCATAAGCACTTCTGGGATTGTGACAGACATCTCACATCAGTGATAAAAGACGAGTGACTCACGGCCGTAATAAGATTAAGAGCTGGATTTGGGGATTTTTTTTGTCATTGATGAATGTCATCTTGAATTTCATTACGCTAATAACTTCTGAAGATGTGGACTTTTTGAACTTTTAGCCTCTGTTTCTGCAGCGATGCTCTGGCAATAACAGGCTGGCTCAAAGCAGCCTGCAGTCAGAGCAGGAAACAAGAGAATAGCTTATGTCTACAAACCATTTCTACCTGTCTACACACTGTCTGTGGTGTGAACAGACACCTGTCTGTTCACACCATTTCTTCCTGTTTATGACAAACTGCATTGTATTGGGGTTTTGGTTAGTTGGTTTAATGATCCGCACATCCTGTTTGTCTCGTCTCGTACGACACTGGCAGAGCGTGCCCTCATTTGCCCATCAACACATCACCTGTTGAGCTTTAACGTGTCATCTGCTGACGCATTTAACTCACCAGCACACCCAGAGGGTGACCACAAGGATGAGAACAATGGCCAAGGCTGAAGAGAGGCAGATCATGATCACCAGCGCTGCAACACAAACATAGAAACATTGCAAAAGCTGTCAGCAAGAACTCATGTCATATATAATGAATGTTGATGTGATCAAAGTTTATCGAGGAACAGATCACTTTTTTCCCCTGAAAGTAAGGAAAATGACTCACCTAACTGTTTGTCCTGGCACGCGACCTCGACTTGGATGTTGACTGAGGCTGTGTGGTGATAAAACGAAGCCCGGCAGGTGTACAAACCTTCATCCTGCTCCGTCAGCTCTGATGGGAAAACCATAGCAGCCCCATTCATTTGGACAACTAAGCCATCACTCCTGAAAAACAAGTTCACTTTATTCAAAATAGGAAACGGCTGAAATGTGTTATCTTTCCTCTTTTTAAGAACAAATGACTTGTGACTTCCCCCCCAAAAGAAACCTGCCATGTGAGTTTCTGACATCTGTTCTCAACTTGTGGCACTCAACACCAAGCTCATCTGTTCCTACTGAAGACACAAATCCTTCAAATTGCACAACAAATATGAAGCTTCATGTGTTTTTATCACCACTTCTCAACTTCTTGGAAGTTTCATTTTTGTAAAATGTTACTGGAATACGCAACAAGAAGGCATGTTGAGCACCTTTATCAGCATTTGTTAATTAGAAGCTGGTTTGGTTCAGCGGTTCATACATTGCATTAAACCAAAAAAAAAAATGGTGGTTCCATCCCTGGCCGTTGCAATTTTGATGTCAGAATCGGAATCAGATTTACTGCGAAGTAGGTTTACTCATACATGCATGCAAATATCTTTAAATATCTTTAAATATCTTCTTGTGGTATACACATACACAAGTGTCCTTCAGCACAACATTAAATCCCAAATTTCACCTGCAGGCGTGGCCATTGCTGTAACATGAGCAGGTCTGTACCTTGTATGGCAGCCTGCATGTTAATAGTCCATATGTGTGCACGACAGGGTGAATGTGTCAGTCGTGTGAAGTGGTTTGAAAACTACAGAAGGGTCTACTCTACAGGGAAATGAATGCAGTCATTTTCCAGATTTGGTAACATCTATGTTACAGAAATACTCTGGCTGTGTGTTTGCTCCTCCTATCAGTGTGTTAGTACAGAGAGCACCCTGTGCAGATGTTTCCTCGTGATGACGAGAAAGCTGGTAAGAGGGTACACCACCTTTTACAGTTGAGGTTGTACTCTGGCACGTTGCCTTCGACTTGCAGCAGTACTCTCTGGTTTTGATGATTTTCCTGGAGAGCAAGTCTGTTTACGACGGGTTCACCTCCGTAGCGGCTCTGCAGAGGGGTCGTGCGGTTTAGGACTCTTAAAGAGGAAATATCTGCAGGAAAGTCAGTTAAAGATGAACCTTATATCTTTGGATCTATGAACCAATAACATATTTCAGAAGAGTGCAGGTGTTCATCTTAAGATTATTGTTTGTTTTAAAACTCACAGTATCTGGGGATGTGAATGGTCTTCTCTGCGGCTCCGTGTTTGAATTGATACACACATGTCAGGTTCTGCCCCTCGTGAGGGGCCAAAGCAAACTGATAAGTCAGCCTTGCTTTCAGGATTCGGCCTTCAGACTCAGAGTGCAGGGATGTTTGCTCTTTGGCATTTTCGGGAAGAAGCCAGGCGAGGTTTGCCCCGTCACCCTCCCCTCTGCAGTCACACACGGCCAGCCAGAGCAGAGAGTCCTGCTGTCTCACCACCGACACACTCAGCTGAGGGGCTTCTGAAAAAAAACAAGGGATGACAGGAAGGAGGATGAGCCGCTGTGTGAGTCAGAGAGAGAAATGTGTGAAAGCAAGAAGAAACGTACTGTGCACAAGAATGCGTATTGTTCTTTTTTCTGCTGCCTCCAGGCTCGGATGCTCCACCATGCAGGTCAAATTGTGACCAGAATACAAAGAGGACATGAAGTGCACGGAGCTACGGAAAGATACAGAACCATCAGAGTGTACTAAAGTCTCTGAGAGAGGACTGATGCTGCTCTCAGTGGCTCCGACATGCCAGGTTATGGATGCTGCAGTAGCTACACTGTCCACAGAGCAGTCTACATTCATGTACTTGTCACCGTTTTTCCACTCAGTGCTGGAGTTGATGGTGATGTTTGGGTGAGCTGCGTGGGAAAGAAACCAAAGAAGATTAAATCTATGGAGCTCTTACATTTGAAAATATGTCAGCTACTTAGACAAAATCAACCATTGCTCGATTTGCTGAACATACCGCAAAGAGGGAGTGTTATACTTCTGTTTTGTGGCTCCTTGAACGCAGGGTGATTTATCACACACTCTGCAGAGAGCTCCCGGGGCGAGCAGGCAGGGAGGAGTAAAACTCCTCTGACTGAGTGGCTTCCATTATGAGAAGTGAAATTGAACCAAGAGACTCCAGACACACCCTCCGGTAGGAGCCAGGACATGTTGGCTGCAGGAACAGCATCAGCTGCTGAGCACTCAATCACCCGGCGTCCATCTTTAGTCTGCACATCAACTCGTACAGCAGGAGGAACTTAAGAGGGAGGGCGAGGAGAGAGAAGGTTCTACATCATTATTTTATAGTCAGACGGTGCAGGATGTTGCATGAAAATCTTTAAAGAAATATATTCTACGTGTTTGACCCACTTGGCTCTGTAACCGGAGGTTTAACCGTGACATTAAACGTCAGATTAGCTTGAAGTTGGTGATAGGAGAGGAAACATTCAAAGACACCGGCATGCTGCTGCTCCAGAGGTCCCTGAAGTGCGAGGCTACTGCCAATGATCTCCACGCCATCAGGCAAGGGTCCATCGTCTCTACAATCAAAAACAAGCAAACAAAGAGACATTCATACTTCACTTTTTTGCAGCATAAAAAAAGTGTTTTTTGGATCAGGAAACATGTTTAAATCTGGTTCCTGCAGTATATATCTTGTGGTCTGGTGCCACTTAGCGTGCTACCACATCCTTTTCAGGACCTGCATGTCGTTTCAAAATACATACATGAGAAAATAAAAAGCAGTACCTGGCTTGGCTCTGAAACACTTTTTTTTAAAGCTAAATGATATAAATGAACTCAACGAACCAAAACAGAAAAAAAGTGGAACCTACACAACCATTAGAAGTTCTCAGATTTTAAATCAGGCTCACCTACATACAGAATGTTAAGAGTGACAGAAATAATGACTCTGAAGACAGAATGAAGTCAGAAGCAATGACTCAATGCAAGAAGATCTTTAAGTGTGGATGTAAAACAAACCAAAGCACACACGAGTTAATAAGTAAAAATCAAAATCAAGCATGGATAAAAGCAGTGATTTAAGAATAAACCCCACAGTCTGGAGGCCATAACAGCTGTGACTTTGGAGCAGCTTATAAAGTTTTGCCTGAGGATCTCAGGTGCTCATAAAGGGAGAGTACCTAGGAAGTGCCAATCCAGACATGGAAGTGAAAACGTTTTTTAATTTTGCATTTCACTAGCTTTTTTTTCCACATTCACTTCCTGAAAAAAACTGTCATGTCTTGTTGGCAGTACAGGCTTTCTATATGAACTTACTTTTTGCAGGTAACATTGTAACGTGGCACATTCCCAGTGACCTGCAGGCTGATGACTATATCACTCTGTCCTTCCCGCAGCTCTAAAGAGTTATCATAGTTGCTTTGCAGCTCTGAGTACAACAGATGAACTCCTGATATATCTGCAGATAGAGATGGAAAAAGCACATCTATTTTTTTCTGAAAGCTTTTCAGAGGAGTAGTTTGAATGTGATCCACTAATGATACTCACAAAAAGATGGCAGGGTTATGACTCGTGACACTCTCTGTTTAAATTTGGGGTGGTCAAACAAACAGGTGACATTGTGTCCCTCATACAGATCTGCAGGGAGAAGGACCGAGCTTGTTTGTGTGTCTGAGTCTGTGCTGTCCTCCCTCTGTTGCTCCTCTTCTCTGTTCAAAGCCAAGGAGATTTCGGTATCAGGTCTCCCTCCAGACGAAATACAGGAGACCACCCAGAAGTCACTCCCTCCTCGTTGTACCATCTCTGCTTTAATGGTCACATTTGGCCTCGCTGCAGAGCAGGAAGACAGGCGAGAAGAGTTATTCTTTCACAAGCTCTAATGTTTTTTCCAGCAAATTAAAAAGTCAGATAGCAAGTTGAGGCTCAGGGTGTTTTTGTTAAATAGGAAGCTGAGGCCGGATGAGTTTAATGTTAGCTAAACACGAGCCGTGAGGGGCTTCTGCTCGGGTTCTGGAGAGTGCTGACTTAGGCTTATCACCTGTCCCATCTGTTGGCCGAGCTGCAGCTGAGAGCAGATGTCTGGCCCAGCTGCCGTCCCACCAACTCTGGGAGAACCGCAGGCTTTTATACAGACAATCAGCCAAGATCAGGTCCATTATCCAATACATAAAACGAGTGGTGTCATGCAATAGCCAGAACATCCCAAAAGAGGAAGATGAGTGAGCTAACTCTTGTAATAGCTGGATTGTTGCGGAAGGGGATGTACGATTAAAGTGAGTTAAAGCGCTTTGACTTTAAACCTTCCATCTGTTGTAGTTTTGTGTGGATCTAACCACTGCAGTTAGTCAATCACTTGGGTGTGAATGTATCATAGACAAATTAGCTGGCTGGCCTGGCTCGTGCTGAATGGATTTTTATCATAGAGCCTGCTGCATGAATATTCTCAGAGTCCATGCAGGGATCTGGATACTCCGGACTGCCTAATGTGTGAAGGTCAATTTAAAGAACATGGTCTTAAAAAATGTAAAAGTTACCTGATGAATTCCAAGAAAAAATACAGAATGAAATACAGAAAAAGTGAAGTTTGATTTGTATTGAAAACTTCAAACGCAGGGCAGCCAATAAGAAATGCAGCCTGTGACCACAAGGGGGTGATTCAAGAACTGAAACTTGTGTTGGAGAGTTACCTTCAACTTTTTTGTTCTTTTTTAAACGTTCTCTTTTTTGCTAAGTTGATATTATAAGAACATATAAAGGATGATAACCAGGTTGAAATGGTCCTAGCAATAAGGTTTATTCTGCATTACGTTAATATGGACCATCTATTGACACTCAATGGCATTGTGCCAGTTTGTTTATCTGATTGACAAGATTTCCTGTCAGCCCGGGTAAAAATGTTTGTTTTGCATGCTATTCTCACAGAAAATCACAAATTGGAAAGTGCAGATGGTGGAGAAGATGGTCTATATTATTGGAGTGTTATTTAAAGCCATAATGGACCATCACCAAGTAATGTGTAAGAATTTCATTGTCATGAAAAAGTGGAGCTTAGATTATCATAAAAAATACAACTTTTATGTAATTAGTTGTTTGTTTTAGATCCGAAGCTTGACCCAAAGGTATGACTTGGCATCAGATTTGGCAACTTTGGGCACAAAAATCAACATAAACATATCATCACGTTGTTGACACAGTTGCTCATTTTAACATACAGCATGTAACGTAGCAACGTTATCATTCATGAGTCATTCATGGATGTAAATACAAACTTTTTTATGTATTTGATTGGTTCTCCTCAGACCCCTTAAGTGAAGTCATTGGCTTTTGAGGTGCAAAAAGCTCTACACTAGTTAGCTTTTTTGTTGCTAAAACACAGCTGCCTACTGTTGCTTAAAGATGTGGTTATAGTGAAACCAGTGAGAAAGGAGCTCAGAGACTCTAAAATGTTCCACAGTTAAGACAGAAACTGCAGATAGAGTCAAAAATCCTTTAAGGAATACTCACTTGTAGCGGCTCATGCTGTAAATGTACCTGATTCTTTGATACTCATCTGTAAATAAAACTTTAGAGTGCAAGACGTTTGTTGTTGTTAGTTAGGCTGTAAAATGGAAAGTGTCTTTTCACTAATCAACAATCTAATTATATTAGAGGGGAGTGTGACAAATGAAGCCACTAAATTGTATCGTGCACTGTACAGAAATACTGTTAATTAATTAGTTACCGGGCTGTTACTGCATAATAGTTTTTAATATGCCCATCCCCAGTGAAAGAATGCATTCTCACTTTAATGCCTTACACTGTGCAGTGTGATTTATGGCGTGTCAGTGTGTATGTGGAGCAGAAAGAGAAGAAACTACGCCTGAACAATCAGCAGGAGAAGGTTATTGTGTTGTAAGATGCTGAGTCATGATGCATGATTGCAAAAACTCTTGAGGGGTGATGCAATACATTCTGTCACCTCCAGGCAACACAGATGTAGAAACACAAAAATAACACACACAAACACACTCCCTCAGCTGTGATTGTGAGCTTACTGTACGTTTCCACCCTCACTGTGGTGAGTGTGGGGGATGGGAGGGTCGGGTGTTGGACGATGCAGACGACACTGTCCTCATCTTGCAGGTGGGTGGGGAAGCGGAGGGTGCTGCTAACAGTGGAGGTGCCATTGGGGTGAACAGTTTCACCCGTGTGTTGGGTCAAAGGGTGATCCGATGAAGGATGATCAGCAACCAACCAGCTGATGTGAGATGCAGGCCGGCCGCCCACAGCAGAGCACGACACGGACTGGTAGTGAGTGCCGTTTATTGTCTCTGCACTCACCTGGATGTGGATTTCAGGTCGAGCTGTGAATGAACGAGCAACAAACATTTAAAAACAAATACGTTGATAATAAAATATTTCCATTTATCAACTTGTATATACATCTTTAGATGACCTTGTTTTCAAGACATTTGAGATCTTTAACCTTGCTTAAGCATAGACTGTATATAAAGATGGACAATATGACAGATCCCCAAAAGTGAATGAAAAGATATTTTGGGCTCCCCCTACTGGTCGGCTGCAGTACAAGTCATAAACACACCTCTTCCATGTTAAGGGAGGGACATCAGGCAAACGATAAATCCAATGAAACGTCAAATAATTTTCTGAAACACGGTTTCTGTCTTTGAAGTTAGTCCTTATCATGCTGATGCTGATTGATCAAAGTGGCTTCATTTTTGTACACCTGTTGGAGGTGGCAACATGTCCTGTATCTTTATATATGAAGTCAACGTAAATAATGTGTTCCTCAAACATACAGGTGAGATTTCACCTTAATAATTGATTATACTGCATCAGGATAGAGGAAAGCAAGCTCTCTCTTGTTTTTAGGAAAATTTGAGACGTCATGTTTTTTCTTCAATTTTCACATTTATTATTTATTATTTATTGAAGTTATTTTGTACTATGTAGTCCTGGAAAATTGTATCTATGTTTGTCTGTTTTTGTTCTTTTTCCCTACTGCACTTCAGTTTTACATTTTTTTTCAGTTTTTTAAAGTTTCTAATAAAGTCGGGTAAAGTTGAGTTCTTGGCTTACCTACTACAGTGAGGAAAACACTGTCAGAATAAGACTCTTCCTCCGACTCAAACTCACAGATGTATTTTCCCTCTGTGTCTACACTGGAAACATTCATCTTTACTGTCAGGTTGGTGACAGACTCTGGCTCAGAGAAATCAGAAGACCGGCTGAATGGCTTGTCATCAGTAAATCCTGCCAGTGGTCTGGATTTAACTCTGGTGTTAATCTGTCGTTTCCACGTGGCGCTCAGGATCTCACCCTCGCCCATATATCTACACCTCAGATACACATCTTCTCCCAGGACCGCCGTGATGTTGTGTGTGATATCAAGATGTGGCTCTCCACCCGGACCTGACGTGCAGAAAAAAACAAAGAGGTCAGAAGTTCATCTGAAGAGTCCTAAGCAGAAATATGTTGCGGGTTAAATGTGAGTGTTCTTCTTCTTAAAGGACAGACAGCAGTCTGATAGATATCTGCTGTTGTGCCGATGGAAGGAGATTTCTGCCTCTTCTATTGTCTTCACTTATTAAATCAAACTGTGATGGATAAGGTAGACTAACCGGGTCAGTAGTTATGAGGCTCTCTGTCATTTTATCATAATTACAAAACACAAAGACAAATCAATATCAAGATGTGCAAGCAATGCTCTGAGCTAAACGCTAATGTCAGCATGCTAACACGCTCACAATAGCAACGCTAGCATTCTAATATTTAGCAGACAAGGTCAACCATTTTTTAAAGGGTGGGAGCGTGCCGATATTAGCTTATTAGCACTCAAAACAAAGCTGAGGTTCCTGGTAATGTGTATCATTAGCATTGCAGGTCATAAATCTATAGTTGATTATAAAACCAGGAATTCATGAACATGCAACTGTTAGCTGAAGGCTACCCATTTATCATATTGGGTAATTATAGGCTGGAGGTGACATTGTGTGAGAATTCAAATTTAATTTAAATGGAAATTAAATTAGATTAAAATGGAAATTGCAAATCGTCTTTTTAAACGGAACTTTGAAATGGACAAGTCCTGAAATTGAAAGATTTTCAAACATGCAAATGCCAACATTTAAGCTCAAATGAAAAGTACTGCAGATGAAAAGAAGCTTTAAGCTAACTCTAAACATCAAATCGTCAAATAGTAGCATCTATGGCCATTATCTTACATTGTCTATTAGAAATAAAATAAAAAGAAGTATATAAAATGTGTGTGAAGATTTTTTAAAAGTTAATATAATAAATGTACAGGAATAAAAAGTCATATTCCTCACAGTGCATATGGCATACAGACCTGATATTGGCACTAGAACAAAAGTCAGTGTATAATAAAGTGATAAAAAATAAAATGACCCATGGGCAAATGCAATAGCTCAACTGAATCCATTCAGTAGTTGTAATTTGATTATTTAATCACAACCCTAAAAATCCACCTCATGGAAGATGATGAGGCTGATGGCCAAAGTCATTCAGGTTCATCCTCTGGGAAGCATGAAGATGTGTGAACACTTTGCACCAATCAAGTAGCTGCTGAAATCAAGTCAAGAATTTGACTGTAGATGGTGTTCAATCCATTATAAGGCTGTTGTCCATGAAGTCTTTTTGATTTATCATCTGGGAGCCTGAATGTCAGTACATAAATACTATCTGAAAAGTGACGCTGATAGAATGTCTTAACAACCTGCTGCTGCAACCAGAAACAAGATATGAAAGTAAACATGATGGAGCACTCTAACTCTGACGGCTGAAGACAGGAATTGGGCTTTGTGCACAAAGTGACACTTGACAAATGTGGCCTTGTCCCCTCAGTGTATATTTAATAATAAAGGAATCCATTATGTTAATGACATAAAGACAGTCCAAAAGTTACACCCTGATCCAAACCCAAACACAGACGACATCTTCCTCCCTTACTTGTGAAATCAGCCATGATTAGGGAGTCTTCAGAGAAATGGACATTTAATAGAAGCTGACAGGTTTCAGCTCTTGCAGAGAGGACAGAGTGCAGACTCTAATGCATACAAAGTCCCCTCTTATCCTGCTTCCTCTGCTGACTTCATCAAAGTGCACCTGAGGACACAGTTTGTTCCAATCGCCCGTCGTAGCCAAGAACTTCCATTCAGCTTTAGATACATGATGAGGAAAATGATGACAGCCTGCTGCTGCAGTGCTTCTTGTAAACCGTTGAATGTACAGGCGTCTGCTGCTTTTTTTTATACAGTTTGCATCAAATGCTGTTAGTGTTGAAATGCTGTAAGTCTGACTATACATCACTAGAAATGGAAACAATGTGGAGAGCCTCCAAACCTTTTAAGAGGTAAGGACACAGAGGGAGATAAATAAATATGCTGCACTGGTTCAATAGTGCTTTGTGGGTTTATAATTCATTTGCCCTTGCAGGTTATTGCCAAGGTAAATGTCAGCCAAGCATGGAAAAGGCACACCTTAAGGAAAGAAACTAAATAATAAGTGAGAGAAAAATCAGGTATTCATGCACTGCATCATATATATTTCCTGAACCTGAGGGGCTGCTTTTTCTCACCTAACAGCATTTAACTATGGCACACAGAAACTCTTCCTCTGCAGGCTGGGGATGTGGTAAACAAACGATACACTCCACACTAAAAACAGAGCAGAATCTCTTTCAGACGTTTAAACTTTCATCTGCACCTGGAAGTCTCTGTGACTCTGCAGAAAGAAAGACTTCAGAGACTTAAACTGCTCGGTCGGGACTTTAAATAAGTGAAAGCCTGCAGAGGGTTTTCCCCCCACACAAAGAGCAGAAACTCTAATGATCCTCATAAATTAAATACGACCCTCGTATATTACATTTATAATGCTGTAAAGAAACTAATGCGGTTTTAGGTGACACAAACTGATCAATTATAATGAACTCACTGCAGGAGTGACAATACCAAATTGCCATCAGGAATACATTGTAGATAAAATAATTCAGTGCCTTCATGATGTGTTCAGTATGTGGCTTTATTGTCTGTTTGCATTTTTAATAAGACTAATCAGTGGAGAAAAACTAAAGCAGCCCTGTTTAGTGTCAATGCCACAGGTTAAACAAGACCTTACAGGCCAGTAAAATACGCCCATAAACAGCTGACAGTCACAGATTGATTACAACCCTGCAGACTTACCCAGAATTTCCAAGCAGTGAGCAATATTTGGGATCAGAACCAGAATCAGCAGGCCAGAGCATCCCATGATGGACTCATCGAGTGAATAAGTGTCGACTGCATGTAAGGCACACAGGGATTTAAATTGTGTGTGTGTGTGTGTGTGTGTGTGTGTGTGTGTGTGTGTGTGTGTGTGTGTGTGTGTGTGTGTGTGCGAGAGAGAATTAGTTTTCTGTGGTTTATGGTTAGGATGTACACACCCTCTACAGCTGACACCTTTGTGCATATGTGTGCCTTTGTTAGTGCACGTTTGCTGCTACTCATACACCCACACTTGATGTGCGCATGCCAACACATTCGATCTGTGTAAAGCTCTTTTTTTCCCCTGAAACAATAGATAGGCTTCTGTTTATGAGAGTTATCTCTCTTACTTATTTTCTAAGGTTTTCTAAGGTCTTTTACCTGCTTTTTGTAACATAACAATGAGTAAGGTCTTTTTACCTGCTCTTTTGTAATGTTAACAGACAAAGAGTAAGGTATTTTACCTGCTTTTTGTAAAGTGTCTTGAGATAACACTTGTTAGGAGTTGACGCTATACAAAATAAATTGAATTGAACTGAATTACTTTTCAGGTTTCTGAGGTTTTTTTTCTCTGAGTTTTTTGGTGCACTATTTGACTCTTCATAGACTACACTTACTCATATAGCATGTCATGACCCCTAGTGCTGCAGAGTCTGTGCATCATTCATACCATCCCGTCCCTTCTGGGGCCAGCAGAAACGGCCCCTCTGACACCGCTTGCACCCCTGCAGTTTGGGAAATCACCCACTTCCACTCTGCATTATTTCATGATTTAATGCACCACTAGCTCCCTTTAAGGCTGTTTTTTTCTTCAGCCATTTATTTAATGAACAACATTTCTCATCCTGTGGAAAAAATTTTGATGAAGAGACTCAAATGTGGGTGACAAGGTAAAACCGTTTGTGTGCAGTCTCTCAGGTCTTGTCTATGTCATTGCCATCTTTTATTTCCTGTTGAAGTTGAAGTACTTTAATGTTGAGTCATTAAGACCACAGGGGGATGACTGTGAATGAAATGAACCCGACAGAAAAAAAAAAGCAGTCATAGAGAAAACCAATTTCGATTACTTGTGGGTTTTTTTAACGGCATTGTGAATCGTCTGGTATGAAACTGGCAGCAGTATTGAGACTTTTAAAAGCGTGTGAACGTGAGTTTAATGACAAAGAAAATAATAGTCATCCTGTTGCTCTCCTCTCTGCAGTCACTGCAGCAGGAGAGCCTACACTACAAAAACATCCCTTTACAAAGACTAAAATGCATTTTCCTCAACACACTTCCTGTAAAAATCCAGAATTTAAAGCCCCTGTTGTATCTTTATGTGGATGTTAAGACACCAAGGCTGTTAAATACACCTGAATCATTTATAAGAGAGAAGAGGACAGAGCCAGAGAAACATTCAGGGCCAATACATTCAGTGTATTTAGATGTTTGAACCCATTAAAGGTATGTTTCGCACTTTTGATAACACTGAAAGTATTTTAAAGAAGTTAAGACATTTGTGTTTAAGTGTTTTAGAATGTAATTGTCTTCATGATGATTTTTGTTGCTTTGTGAGACAGGCTGAAAAGTAGATTAACTGACAAAAAAACTGGATGTTTTGAATGCATATGAATGACAAATCAAAGAAATCCTCTCAAACTCACAGACAGACGATAGAGGTTTTGTCGGTGTGCGCTAAGAAGGTTTCAAGCTCCAGACTTCCAGTCTTGCTCTCCGACTTGATTGGGGCTGTCGATGATCATATCTCCAGAAGGTAAAACACAGTTCAGTCTATTACAAAATTACATGCAACATTTCATTTTGAGGGCCAACACTGAACACCGAGAGGAGTTTATCTCCTAAAACTCGATGTTATCACATAGACACAGCTCTGGTGATCATTTTTCCAGCTAATTAAAGCACCTGAAGTCCCTGAAGGTGGGCGGAGGTGGACAAGGATTTAGGGGAAGGAGTCTGGAAACCTTCAGTCTTTAGTCTGCATGATAATGTATTTTACTGACAATGAATTGTTAACATTTCACAGACAAGGTACTTATACATTTCACAGATGTACAACTGGCATCCTTTCCACCTTGCTGGCTTTCTCTTTATCACTTTCTCTATGGACATGCACATGTGAAAATGCAGCTGGAAAAAGGCTTGTTGGGGATCAGCCAGCAATAATGTGTGTGTGCTGTAAAACACCAGCAAACCTGCCCGTGAAGGACAGTGTGGAAACCTACTTAACTCTGCAAAACCTTATCATCACTTTCTACAGAGCAGGAAAATAACCGATCATCTGCAGAAACTCTTCCGGCTGTTATTCATTTACAGCTAAATTATCACCAAACCCAGCAGCCCTCACCCCCATGCGCACACACACACACACACACACACACACACACACACACACACACACACACACACACACACACACACACACACAGAGCGCTTTAGCAGATTCCACACTGACACAGAACTTGATTGATAAGCCTCTACTAATCTGAGTCATATACTTGTATTTGATTTGCATGAGACTCTGCTGCTGGCATTTGTGTACAAAGAGGAATAAATATAAAGCAACTCTCTTGGGGCTATATTTCTTGAGGTTTAGTTAAACACCACTAAATGTTTGAAAAGACTTGTGGGCTCTGCATCATTGAGAAAATTAATAGACTGAGATAAGAAATGCTTCATATCTCAGTGCACATGTTCATTCAAGTATTCTTGAAATCAAACAATCAATAAGCAATGAGTTAATTTAAAAGCTTTATATGCCATTTTCTTACACTTAAATATAATATAAATCAAGTATATCCTCTGAAAATAACTCTGTGAGTCATGACTGTCTGCAATGGGTGTAACACACAAGTCCCACTCTCTGTGATGTTTTCCGAGTTTCCCGAGTCCTATCTTCAGTTTGTTAACATCACCCGGACGGCCGGCTGACTCCTCCCTCGCGAATAAAAGTTGTTTAATTGAGGGACTAGAGAAAAGAAGAATAACATACTGTACTCACTGCTTAACTGTGTTTCTAGATCACGCTCATTTCGGGTAAATTTTGGTTTAATGCTGGTGCTCAAGGGCGACATCTGCTGTATAAAAAAATATAAATATAAAGCCTTTAAATATGTTGCCTTTTGATGTCCCTGTGAGGGAGCTTTTGGCTTTTGCTTTTAATATAGGCTATTTAAACGTCTAGACAAGAAATGTCAAATGCAACTGTATGCAGATTTCTGCTGGACAAGTTTGACGGTGTATCAAAAAGAAAAAAAGACAGAAAATAAACTGTGATAAAAACAGCCTACACATAGTAGCTTGTTATCTAAGCTTAGCATAAAGACTGGAAGCCCATGGTGGAAGCAGGGAAACTGGCTACATGTGTCCAAGACAACAAAATGCGCTTATCAGCACCTCTAGATATCAAGTACCACCTTACTGGTTATGAAGTTTGGTTGTGAGTTCTCTAACAAGATTGTTAATAGTGTGAGTATCATTGGTGAGTGTGTGGCTATTAAAGCCATTGCAAACATTGTACTGAAAAAAATACAATATTTTAGAGGGAACAATGACACAGCTGTAGCTAATGTGAGCAAGGATGTTGGCTAGCAAACTGTTGTTCGCTAGCATGCAGCTGGAGGATTTTTCTTGATAACTTTTAAACAAAAGCAGTATAGACTCATATATAAGCTATAAAGCACCTATACAGCAACCCAAATTTACAAGTAAAGTCCTGTATTTTAAACTAGCACAAAGTAGAAAGTGTAGGGGAGCCTGGGGATGGTTGTAACACTTTGGCTTCAGCACCTGTAAGTCACTGCATTTTTTAACTTGAGTTCTCAAATTTTTACACAAAGTACCTACATTTGTTAACTAAAATGGAACCAATTCAGAACTGTAAGAATTTTGTAGATCACGTGAGTTGATGTCAGATAGATGGTGATCCATTGTTACAACCTATCCCGTTACCAGGGTAAGTTTTAGTTTGCCAAAAGAAAAATAGACGCCTAAAAATAGAAAATAGACGCCACACCATGTGATATGCTTCAAACAGAGGTTGATTGAAATAACAGAACAATCTAGAACAATGTTCTCTCTGTAAGTGACAAGAACAAATTTGGTTCTGTTGATAATGAAACGCTCTTCTAAACTGTAACTAGGTCAAGAACATACAGGTCTAATAAATTAAAAATAATGTGTGCGCCAGTCTGTTGAAATCTAAACTCAACACGGGTTTTATGGAAACCTTTTGTGGTTCACTTTTACCAACTCGTAAAATCACAAGTCGTACGAGTTTCTCATGGTTTTGAAAGGTAGTTTTGCATAGATCCTTTGATTGACTGATAACACTCACACTGCAAAAAACCATTCACATTGGGTGTGACCACAAAAAAGCAGCTCTAGAAACAGCAAAAACAGGTCACCTCAGTGCAAACATTTGAACTACGCGTCATGCATTTTAATATAATGCATCAGGACACTCAACTTCAATTCATTCATAAACATCCTGACCTTGTTTTTTTAAGAGCACATAATGGTTACTGATGCGTTTTATCAACTTCTATAAAACATTATGCATCCATAATGCATCATGATCCTGCCATTACTGTTTATGACTTGGTATTGACAACATTAAAGCAAGCCCTTTTAAATGCTCTTCAAATTCTCTCAGTATGGTAGATCAACTAAAGAAGAAACTGGGAACTTAAAATGTCACACACACATACACAGTTGTAAGTTGTGTTTCTAAAGCATTGGTTCCCAACCTGGGGCCTGGGACCCTTTAGGGGGGGTGCCAAAGATCTCAGGGGGTTGTCTGCTCTGAGTTTGTCAAAAGGAAATTTGCTCATTGCAACATAAATCATGACAACACACTTACTGGATAGATTATTCAAAGGTCTGTATGTAAACCTGTGGGACACCTGTGATTCATGTTCGAATGAAAACAATAAAAAGACAATAAAATGTTCCAGTTTGGGTCATGGAGGGGCTCAGCCTTTCTTAAATACAACTACAGAGCTTTAAGGAAGAAGGTTTGAAACCTCTGTTATAAATTAATCATAGTTTTCTATTCCCACGTGTTAAAGAGTAAGTTGACTCA